TATACTTTAATTATTAATATTTTATTATATTGTAGATTATATTCTGTTTTTATATCAATAATTATTGTATTATTTATAATAACACATAAATTTCAAACTATTGCTAATAATTATTAACAACTATTAATAACAAATTATTTAACACTGCACATGAATTTTTGCATTATCATTATCATTGTTATTGTTAAATGTAATATGTACAGAGTGGAGATTAATCAACTATGCAAAAGTAAACTCGAATATCTCAAATGTTATTCGGTCTAGAAATTCAAATGATATATCAAAATGCTCATCAACTGCGGGAGTTTTTGTTATGATATGGTCAATATGTTTTACCTCCTATTTTAGAAATAATCTCAAATAAAGCAAAATTTTATCATTTTTTCCATAGACATAATGTTAAATTCAAACTTATTATTGAGCAAAATCCTGAAATAGGTATAAAGTTAATTTTGCTCCTATTTAAGAATATGCAATCAAAATTCTTGTCTTGCATGTAGTTTTTGTATTATAGAAGATTTTTTCAATATTTCAGATATTTAAGTCCATTCAACACATTTCTTTGTGTGGACTTCTCTTCGTGGCCACTATTATCAAGTCCTCACCCGCAGGACCTCTCGATTAATAGTCCCGCACTCACACCGTGCGAAGTCCACAAGTAGTCCACAACAAGGTATAAAGTTAATTTTGCTCCTATTTAAGAATATGCAATCAAAATTCTCGTCTTGCATGTAGTTTTTGTATTATAGAAGATTTTTTCAATATTTCAGATATTTAAGATTGTTTCAAAACTTATGCGTTTCGAATTTTGATCACCATTTGGGAACAGCTGAAGTGACAATATTGTCACTTTTCACATATATAGTTCCATGTCCGGAAATTATTTGAACATACAAATAATTTTGGTCACGTGACTATATTATTGTGAAAATGAACCATTCGCGAGACTATGGAGAAAATGGCAAAAATTTGGTAGTTTTGAGATTACTTCTATAATAAGAGGTCAAGAATATTGACCATATCATAACAAAAACTCCCGCAGTTGATGAGTATTTTGATATATTATTTGAATTTCTAGACCGAATATCTTTCGAGATATTCGAGTTTACTTTTGCATAGTTGATTAATCCCCACCCTGTAATTTATTAATTAAAAATAAATATAATAATTCTGGCATTCATTCAACAATTTAAACAAACTTTAATTAATATTATTTTATATATTATTTGGTGAGTACATCCAACGTGCATTTCTAAACAAATAAAATATATTTATAAATATATTTATAGATATTTAATAAAGTTACAAAATAAAAATTAATGAACCTTATATTTCTTGTGTTCGTTTTTATCTACGGACTTGTGAATTTGAATCAACTCATCTTGCAATGTTTTGCTCGACTCTACAAGCTCACTCGAACATTTTTGATATGCCTCGTCACAAGATTCAATCATCATTTGTTTTAAATCGTGCTTGGTCAGATCAACTTTTTTAAACTTACTTATATCACCCGCCTTTCCCATGCACTTTGTATGAAAGGTCTTATCCAACTATTATTAATAAATAAAAATTTTAATTATTTTAATTATTAAAATATCCTAGTTCCGGTAAATGAGGGTAAATTGTGTTGTATTGTCTATGAGAGCATATAGGCAAAGTCTACCTTTTGGGACGTTTTTGGTTTGACATATATTTTATAGTTTTTAATATAAATTAAAATTACAAACTTTTTCCCCGAGAGCTTTCATATCAGCCGACCATTTATTCTTGAAATTTTTAAAACATTCAACAAGTTTAGTCACTTTATCGGTGTCTACTTTCTCAGCATCACACCATAGTTTACCAACTTCACTCTCACTCTCGTCAGCCAATACCAAATGATTTGAAAAAGTCATTAAAATGACCATGCACAACATTACTTCTTTACACATTGTGTAGTAAGAAATTTAAAATTTATTTTAAATTTAAATAATTTAAAACTAATTTGTTTTGTGGTAAGAAATTTGCAACTTTTATACCAAATTAAACGAATGTAATGTAGCCATATATTTAATTAATATGTCGTAATATCCATTGTTTTACATTGTCTGATTATTATATTGTTTATTCATATTGAATTACCAGATACAGAATAATTACAGTTTGAATTTTGTTCATAAATACAACTGAATTGTAACAAATCACAACATTTTGGTAAAATCTCCACTTTTTGAAATAATTTGTAAACATTTATTTACATACAAATAATAACGAACGATCCTATCAACCACATTATTCATATGAGAATAGTGGTTTAAAATTGGCAGTCATTGAAACATACCTTTATTTATATTCCCGTTATATAGACTCACTTTTTACATATGTTTTTATATTTTATTAAATTATAACAATAATTGACATCTTTTAATAATATGAATATTTTATATCAAAATAAAACTTAAATTTACTCTTACATTGAATTAAATAAAATTAATAATTTTTGCCATAAAATAAACTTTCAAAATAATAAAAGTATCATGCGATTTATTTCTTTGCAATTTAATGTATATTTTTGTGTTTATTATAAATTATAAATTAATATTTAAAATTTAGTTTTTGTGTCCTGATTTAGATTAATAATTTGTATATTAAAATACTGTTGATTTACAATATATCTAGGATTTAGCACCATAATAATTATTTAAACATTTAGCCATATTATTTAATACAAGATTTAAAATTTTATATTTTATAGTTAAAACACTAATTTCATTTAAAAATAAAAATTCCAAAACTCGGTTAACAATAATTATTTATATTATTTAAATAGACTTTACTAAATATAATTTAATATATTATTACTTGAGTCCACCCAAAGCGCATTTCTATGCAAATAAAATAAATTTATAAATAATTTGATAGATAAGATAATATTATTTAATAAATTCACAAAATTAAAACAGTATACATTTAATTTTTTCCATTCCTTGTTATTTATGGATTTTATAACTTTTATTATATCATTATACAACTTTGTGTCGGACTTCTGGAGTGCAACCCTACATTTTCTATAATCCACATCGCAAAGTTCAATCAACGTTTGTTTTAAACCAAGCTTGGTCAGATCAACTTTTTTAAACTTGCTCATATCACCTGCTTTTCTTGTACATTCTTTTTGAAAGGTCTTATCCACCTATTATTGATAAATATAAATTATATACAAATTTTAATTACTTACTATAGTTTTACAAATATTATAGACTAATTAGACGAACATTTTCCTCAATAACTTTTATGTCAGCCAACCGTTCATTCTTGAAATTGTTAAGACATTCAACAACTTTAGTCACTTTATCGGTGTCTACTTTCTTAGCATCACACAATAGTTTTGTATAATCACCTTCAGGCAATACAAATTGATTTCCACAACAAGACATTAAAATGATTATAAACAAAATTACTGCTTTAGACATTTTATGATAATTAATTGAAAACTAATTATGTTTTGTGGTAATTAATTTTCCAATTTTTCTCCCAAATTAAACTACAGTAATTTAATGGAATTTAGTCACATATTAAAATAATTTGCCTTTTATCCATTGTTTTCTATAACTTTACAATATTATTTATACAATAATTTATATATTATTTCAATTATGGCCTGTAATTTAGTTTAATAAAAAATCACTAATTAAGGTATTTGTTTATTCACATGTTTAAACACAATTAGTGTAGAAAGTTATTTGTTAAAACAAATAAAACCAAATAAAACACACCAAATTTAAAAATAATACAATTTGGTTTTATTAATAAAACCAAATAAAACCAATTTTTGGTCATTGTTAATTTGTATAATGTGACCAAACATCACATATTTTTTTATAGATTTGTGCATATATTTAATGGTTTTTAGGTAAACAAAATGCCGCAACAAACAAACAATTCATATGAATAGATTAAAAGTTAAAATTATTGATTTAATTGGCAAAGAGAGCGCACTAAGGGTTTTATTCTTTATTGATTCATCTTGAATAAAAAATTATTATAACGAATAAAACCAAATAAAACCAAATTTTTGAAAAATTACTGATAAAACAACAAATAACACCGAATTTTCCTTAAAATTAATAAAACCAAATAAAACACACTAAATCCAAATCAATAATAAAACCAAATTTGTTTTAACACTAAACACAATTCATGAATACATAATAATCTATGTGAAAATTTAAACATATTAACTTACCATTTCAATATATTGAAATCGCTACTTTAAATGTATGTTTGTGTAAATAATAATATTATATGTTTTTATTTTATTAAATTGTGAAAACGGTTGACATCTTTTAATAAATATTGCATATTAAAATAATACTTAAATTTACATTTACATTGAATTAAATAACATTAATAATTTTTGTCATAACATAAACATCAAAATATCTAATATATTTCACATTTTTATTAATTTTCTTATTTAATGTATATTTTGTGCTTATAATAAATAAAATAATTTAGAAATTAATATTGAGATCTAATCAATTGTGTTATGTTGATTTAGATTTTCTATATTTATTTACAGTATATATTAAAATAATGTTAATGTATAATTTATGATTTAGAATTATATTAATTATTTGAATTATATTAATCTAATCATATTATGTAATATACAAAAATAAAAACTGTAAATTTTATAGATAAAACAATAATTTTTAATTTTATTAATTTATGATAAATATAATAATTCAGACATTCATTTAACAATTTAAATAGATTTTAATTAATATAATTTGATATATTATTTTTTGAGTACATCCAAAGCGCATTTCTGGAAAAATAAAATATATTTAATAGATCTTTAATAAAGTTACAAAATACAAAGAAATTTACTTCTAATTTCTCCCATTCCTTGTGATCTGTGGATTTTTCAACTTTTATTGAATCATCATGCAATTTCTTATCAGAATTTTCGAGTGCATCTCTACATTTTTGATAAGCCTCGTCGCAAATTTCAAGCAACATTTGCTTCATACTAAGCTTGGTTAAATCAACTTTTTTGAACTTACTCATATCACCCGCCTTTCCTATACACTCTTTTTGAAAGGTCTTCTCCACCTATTATTGATAAATAAAAATTTTGCTATAGTTTTACACAACGTTTCCCTATGCAGGTAAATGAGTGTAAACTGTAATGTATTGTCTATGGGAGCATATAGGCAAAGCCTACCTTTTAGGATGTCATGGTTTTACATATATTATAAAGTTTATAATATAAACTAAAATGAAATACCTTTTCTCCGAGAGCTTTCATGTCAGCCGACCGTTTATTTTTCATATTGTTAAGACATTCAACAATTTTAGTCACTTTATCGGTATCTACTTTCTCAGCATTACAAAATAGTTTTGCAACTTCATTCTCAGCCCCCATCACCAATTGATTTGCACAACAAGTCATTAAAATGACCATACACAAAATTACTTCTTTACACATTGTGTAGTGAAAAATTTAAAACTAATCTGTTTTGTAGTAATTAATTTGCAACTTTGATCCCAAATTAAACTAATATAATGTAACAATATATTTAAATAAGATTTCGTAATATCCATTGTTTTACATTGTCTATTATATTGTTTATTCATATTGAATTACCAAGTATTGAATAATTACAGTTTAAATTTTGCTGAGTAAATATAATTGGATTTTATAAATTGATTGACAACATTATATAATAAAAATCAATATATAAATTGGAGATAATACTTAAATTAATTATAATTAATAGTTTAAATTTAAAATAAAATTAAAATATTTTACTTTAAATATTA